TTCGTAACATATTGCCTTTACTTTAAAATTGTTTAATATTGCCTTTACTTGTAATTTGTTTAGTAGGCGCTCGCGATTACCAGCTTGGGTGTAAACATGGACTTCTTCGACCAAAATATCCCATCAAAATTTGCTTAGCGGACGCAGGGCATTAAAAAACGTCTTAAATTATTCTAGACCGCGTCGATTAGGCTCTTTTCATTACGCCGCTGGGAAGCTCATAAATGTTGTGCTTGTGATGTGGGAGGAATAGGGGAAGTGTAGATAAATTTAAGTTATTTTCTAGGCAATATTAATTTTAAAAATGTATTTCTAATTGTTGTTTACGTGAATATTGTAATTAGTAAATTTAAAGTTAGAACTACTTGCTGTCAGAAAAGGTCGTTTTAAGTTTTGATTGCTTCCACTCGGTATTCACTGAAATCGTTGGTTGTTTATAGTTAAAGCAAATTAAAAATGAAATAAATTGTTAAAATGGCGAGGCTTGCTGGAGGAAGTGTTTTTAGGAAAGAATTAGAAGATCCTTTATTTGATTCATTGGTTCACGGGCCTATGAGTAAACCTTCTCCAAACCATCGCTGTCACTGAGTATAGGAAATGACAAAGACCTCTGCAAGGAATGTTTTAGGAGGAAAAGTAAAAGATCTTCTTCAGAACTGCGCGCCTCACCAGTCTTTATAGGCCATTAATTCGACTTTTAGAGAGCTGCTCCCGAACAGGCGACTGTGATTGGTTCCGGAGTCCGGATCCGGAAGCTTAATCTATTGCAGTCGTACGAGAAGAGCAGTTGTGAGTGCAAGCACACGCTCCTTATTTCCTTCTTTTTGGGGCGACGTATAAAACACACGCTGCTCGAAGTGTCACGCGTGAGAGATGGCGCTGGAATTCTCACCGCGGTTTTACGATGAGCTTTGCTATATGAGGTTTGGGTGCCATAAACACGTGATGGCCGTGTCACGTCTCGTAACATTCTCTTTACAGTCTCTTGGTCCTCACTTGAATTACTTTAATTGTTTTTTACGAACGGTTATGATCTCCTTGAGGCCTCGGCAACTCGTACCAGCTTTTGATGCGCTCCCACAGAAAACTTTCTTAGGTCCGCCATATTAGTTCGGGCAACTCGGCACGGGACTTAGACCCAACTTCAGCAGAGGACTGAATGACCGCTAGCATCGTAATTATCAGTGAGAGGCAGAGTTCTTTCTCACTTCTCGCTTGATCTGCGTCGTTGTTCAAATACCAGCTTTGTTCGTTTTAGGCCGCATGCCCAACTTCAGCTCTGTGATGATTTTGCAAACGCCTTCGAGGCCTCCAAAGTTTCACCAGAATGCCATATCGCAGTTATCCTAACCTGCACGTCCGTTCAATAGGAAGATTTTTGAGACGGAATATTGGAACAGCGTCGTAATACAATATAAAATATGAAGTATTGCCTAGCGCCAGAACCCGGATACTCAGCATACCGCATCGTCGTGCGATCCTTATCATCGTCAGGCATACTCGTATAAAAGTGCAACAAGGAGTGAAAGCTTTACGAGAGCAGAGGCAACAACACAGTCTTTACAAAGCCTCGTTTTTTTACAAGCTGAGAGCCACTTGGACTTTATGAAGTAGTAACACGGCCAGAGAAGGGAGTCGCTAATAAGCGAGGCGGTTGTGAGAGCTCCGGCCTTCCGATGTCACCTGGCATAAACCATAGTTTCGGATTGCAGGTTCGACATCAAGACAGAAGCGCCTGAGACTCATCGCATGGCCCGAGATCTGTTCTTGCGCTCAGTTTGCTGACTTGGGCGAAGATGAGGCATGTCAAAACTGAATTTTTTACGCGCTGAATGGATATGATATAAAAGAGAAAACCGGAAGCCATTTAACTCGGAAGCTTATGCATGAGAGTTCCATATATTGCCTTTTCTGGGAGGGAAAAAATGTCGGTGGATTAAAGGTGAAAAATATAGAATGTATGCAATAAAATATAGGATTGAAATAGAGAGAATTGCAGCAGGGGAAATCGTGCACAGGATCATCAGTGATCAATTATACTGCATATGGACATCAGACAACGCCATTGAGGGAACGGGGAATAGAAAAATAAAATTGCCTGATGAATCCTGAATCAATAATATACATAGAAAGAATTTGTACGTAAAAATGCATTATTAGCCGGTCGCAGGGCTACACTTTCCTTATTAGCAATAATGTAAAAACTTTAAATAGTGGAGGCTGTGCAGCATCACAAATTTTATTCTTAAAAATTTATGCAGTCGCAAATCCTCGATGGAAATTACTTTGACTGCAAAATTTGTATCAAAGCTATTAATGATTGATTGATTGATATTCAGCCACTGACCTATGAATCTTGCATCAAGTGGCATTTTGGAAGTTCTCAAAAAAATGTAGAGGCATTTCATAATATCATCGTGTCTTTTTGCAAACATTAAAAGAATAAATCTTGAGGCACTACAAAAAAAAATCACCTCGAATTTCTGCAAACAAAAAAATATATTGAGGCAGCACACGAAATTATTTCGTCTTTCTTGCCAAAGCCCCCCAATAAAAAATTGAGGTATCAGACATAATTATCTCATGTCTGCCCTAAAATAAAGCTAGCAATGAATGCAGTATGCAAAGTGCCACAGTGGACTCCTCAATTGAATTAGGTGCGGCAAAATGCCTTTGCCAAGAGCAATCGACTTCTGGATTGCACTTCACTGAGTCGCTGATACAAGCGATCTTAATGCCACCCCAGGCTGCAGGTGCGGTTGTATGGCGGCACAATTGCGCATCGTTAAGTCCCTATTGAGATAATTTTAGAACTTGACTTGGGTCGTCTAGACATGAAAGAAACAGAAATTGGAGCAATGGCTTCATAATTAGAAGAGGACATCCTTATTCGCTTTTGTTCTCTCGCTATTGCGGTCATTTCACCGAGCATACACCGCAACTGGGAAAAAATTGTGATGGCAGGATTGTTTACCACTGTATGAATTTCTTAGGGTGGTAATGCTGGTTCTTCTTCACTCTTCTTCATGCTGGTTTATGGAACAAATCAGCATTTTCTTCAAGTTACATGATAGACAAGATTGATTTTTTTGGAGAAACTGACGCAAAATTTTACGTCAAACTTTTATTTTTACTATATCATGCATGCACATACATATTAACTGATTTAACAAGGAAAATAACATCAAACAAATGAAACCTTGTTAGGCTTAAGCTTAGGCCATTATCTAATTGGCATGGAGAGATCATCGAAACTTCTTCCTTAAAGTCATTTTAAATATATACGTTGATAACATAGACCCTATTAATTATCATAATTCGATCTGTGCGTAAATCTACCTCACCAATTAGTGTTAACGAAGTTGAATAGAGTAATTTCTATGTTATTGTTTACAAGTTATTAGAAGCCATCGTTAGGTTAGAGAACTTCATCGAAGTGTTCAGTGGGAGTCGATGTATTCAATCCGCAAAAGGCGCCGAGTCGCTCCAGATCTGCATGGCAAACACAGCGAGGCTATCAATATACAGCGTCCAAATTACCGGGGCGTGAAGCGCTGCAATAACACACTCGTATGTAACCTCCGTCTGTAACAGTGCAGCGAAATACAGGCTGGAACACAGCGAGTACAACGCTGAAATACAGCTGTGTGAGGCTGAAATACAGTTGAGTGAGGCTGGTATACAACTGTGTGAGGCTGAAATACAGCTTTGTGAGGCTGAAATACAGCTGTGTGAGGCTGAAATACAGCTGTGTGAGGCCGAAATGCGGCTGTGTGAGACTTATATACAGCTGTGTGAGGCTGAAATACAGTTGTGTGAAGCTGAAATACAGCTGTGTGAAGCTCAAATACAGCTGTGTGAGGTTGAAATACAGCTGTGTGAGGCCGGAATGCGGCTGTGTGAGGCTTATATACAGCTGTGTGAAGTTGAAATACAGCTGTGTGAGGCTGAAATACAGCGTTGTTAGTCTGGAATACAGCTGTGGGAGGTTGAAATACAGCTGTGTGAGGCTGGAATACAGTTATGTGAGGCTGATATACAGCTGTGTGAGGCTGAAATACAGCGTTTTAGGCTGAAATACAGTTGTGTGAGGCTGAAACATAGTTGTGTGAGGCTGAAACATAGTTGTGTGAGGCTGAAACATAGTTATGTGAGGGTGAAATACAGCGTTGAGAGGCTGAAACATAGTTGTGTGAGGCTGAAATACGGCATGAATGGCTGATATATGGATGGGTGATGCTGAAGAAAGTTGTGTGACGTTGAAATACAGTTGTCTGGATCCAAAATACAGCTTCGTGATGATTAATAAAACGGCGTGTTGGCAACATACAACTACTGTGTGTTGTCGAAATACAGCTGTGTTCGAGTACTGTGCGTAACTAGACAACCTGGGTTGAAGAGCGGACGCTTGTTCCTTAAGTTCGTTTTTACAGCGGCTCCAAGTACATAGCGATATGGAGTCGTGCTCCATGGACACGAGTAACAGAGTTGCCGCTGTGTGAACACGGGACATTGAGTTGCCGCTGAGTGAATACGGGACATTGAGTTGCCGCTGAGTGAACACGGGACTTTGAGTTGCCGCTGAGTGAACACGGGACTTTGAGTTGCCGCTGAGTGAACACGGGACATTGAGTTGCCGCTGACTGAACACGGGACATTGAGTTGCCGCTGAGTGAAGACGGGACATTGAGTTGCCGCTGAGTGAACACGGGACTTTGAGTTGCCGCTGAGTGAACACGGGACATTGAGTTGCCGCTGAGTGAACACGGGACATTGAGTTGCCGCTGAGTGAACACGGGACATTAAGTTGCCGCTGAGTGAACACAGGACATTAAGTTGCCGCTGAGTGACCACGGGACATTAATTTGCCGCTGAGTGAACACGGGACATTAAGTTGCCGCTGAGTGAACACTGGACATTGAGTTGCCGCTGAGTGAACACGGTGCACGTATGGCTCCGAATCAACCTAAATTGATTATATCAATCATGATTACACTCACCATTGACTGGAGCTTGTGAGGACTTAAGGGGACGACCATCTTCCCTTCGCCAGCTGATCCTGGGCTGAGGGAAGCCCTTGGCGTGGCAAGTGAGGGTAACATTGTCGCGCTCCTTCACCACCAGGCTGCTGGGGCTGGAGCCTTCGTCCGTGATTTCGGGAGGCACTGAAGGAGAGGGAAAGTTTGAATTGATACAGGAGGCATATACCGTTTGAATAAAGTTGAATAAAGGCTATTTAAAATTTAACTCCATGCAGAACAGTGCGATGTGGCTGTATCGGAGAGTGATGTTCGGATACTCGGTTCCGCCTCTGGCTGTTCGGACTTGAGGATTATGGAATCGCAATATATCTTCAAACGAAAATTTTGTCTCAATAATGCACACAGTTTTTATCCTCTTGAAATAGTGAATCACTCAGCTTTAATTTTCTATTATTTATTTTCTAATGCTACGCGAGTGTTTGTTTTCGATTTTAGGGTTGATTTGTCTTTTATTTGTAAATTTTTGGGTTTTAATGTCTGACTTTGGACGTTGAATTATAATGATTGTTTTCATTCATTTTAGATTTTCGAACTGACGATTAAGCTGGACTCCGAAACGTTTTCAATATAGATATGGTCAATTTACTTGACGTTCTCTGTGCTTTTAAATTCCTTGTCAACTTGCGTTTTAAACAGACTAAGGATATAAGTACTATTTAAAATTTAATTGGATTTAGAACCTCATTTGCACAGAAGCACTGAATTCTGGCAATAAGTTATGACCAATTATTATTAATTGTTGTTTAAGGGAGACCATGTGTATAGGTCCCTTTTGTTTTATGCATTGAAAACAATATCGTGTGCGTAGTAATTGATTTGGTGAACATCGGTTTTTTATTGAGCACCTGAAAATCGAATATACGCTTGAGATCGTTTTATTTGAATTAACGTCTAATATCCGGAACTACTGTATTTGCATAATATAAATAAAAACATTCATGTTTATCAATGGAACATAGATAAAATGGAAACAATATAGGTTCGATAATTACATAATCATTAATTATATAGCATGAAGCCTTAGGCACGGAGGAACTGATAGTTCGTGTTCAGCGGTCCGCTCGAGCTGCCTAACCAAGACGGATGACTCGCCGCCTAATGACGTACAGCGTCGCGGCGCCTCGCGCTCCACCCGTCGCCAGGGGGCGCTTGTCGACATGCATTTCACACATTTTAGAGGATTTTGTTCATGCAATAATGGTGTTCTAATAAATGAAATCGATGGATTGAGATTGAATGGAATATTCGGAAATACTCAAGTACAATATAAAGCGAAAAAAAAATAAATTTTGAGTTGACACGGCCTGCGAGAATAGCGCGTAATGAGTGTAATTGGTCAAAATTTTATTAAATGGGGCTAAAAAAAAGTTGAAATAGAGGCTACGTAATAACTATTAAAAATTAAAGTTAAAATCAAAATAAATCGCGAATATTGAGCTTTATAATTGGAATTATGCCGAACACATAGGGAAGAATTGAACGAATTACGGTATTGTGGTAGATAAAAAATTGACTATTTTAGAGTCAACGAAATAAGTAATAAATATAATTAAAATACATTCAAGTTGGAGAATACTGCTTTATCATTGCAAGAAACTCACTGAAATACTTAAAAGATAGAAAAGAAAGAAAAGTCGCGCCAGACACTACACCGGGCACTCGCCAAAATGAAAACTGAGCAACCAGCGTATAATTCAGAATGAACGTCCAAGCGAATGGTGTTCCGGCTAGCGGCTGTAGCGCGGCTTGGCTGGCTTGTGTTGTTAGCCTAATGAACGAAGCCAACTGTTTGCCAGCTACACAGAAAATAAAAATAAGGGAATTAAAGACACAATAGAGTATGGCTAGTATAAGATGCGCATGTGTGAAGCAGACTGAACAGGAGATCTTTTTGTAAGGAAAGATCTCAGGTACGAAAATTTTATTTGGCTCTTTGTACATTGTAAACAATATCCAAACTCTCAAATAGATCGAGTTGTTAGTGGTAAAAACATGCAAACTTTTCAGTGTAACAAATTGTCAGTATTCATCACTCGGACAAGGTTTCATATGGCTCTAACTTTTACAAATGTATAACTAAAAATCCAAATGCATAGTTTGAATTAAAGTCGTTTGACGTCTCAGTTATCTGGGATGGAAACGTCAGAAAAATTTAATCTGTAAGTGATAAGCTTCAGAACGTTTTTGAACTACTTGATGTTATAACTAATCATTCTACGAATATATAGTTCTCTGTAAACTCACAGAATGACTTTTTTGGTCATTTAGAACGATAATAATGATAACAATATTAGTAAATGATTCCCATTAGAATTGAGCTGTCGTTGCACCCCTGCCAAACATACGATCCTCCGATAATGCTTTTGTCTACCCTATGAAGGGCGCTCACGTCCAGACAGGATGTTACATGGTTGAAGAATATAAGGTTGACCCACGAGGATTTCCGTCTTTCAGTTCAGCTTTCTTGTTACGTCAAGTAGATCGAGAAACGTAAACAATCCCGTCAATCGCATGACGGATTCGTTGATTGGTTTGATCGCATTTTGGTGATTGGTTAATTCCTGTGACGTCACTGAGATCAGTGACGCCACAGGCGAAAAACAGACTACATACGCAAAAATGAGCTTCTCATTCGTCAACCTTATACTAGTTCAAACATGGGATGTTATCTTGCTGCACTACTCTCGTGCATCATAGCGATGGCTTTGCTGCATTACTAAAGCGTTAACTGGTAATGGTTTAGCTGCAGCAATCAACCAAATCTTGTTTTCTTTCTGAAAGATTCGCCCACAACCTCACAGGACCTTACTGGAACCCTAAACCTCAACCTGGAAGTTGTGTCGCAGATTAAAACACACAAAACTTTGAAACAATATTTCTGCGCTTCTGATTAATAACCTGGAATTTATGTTGCTGTAAGACTCACCCACGACCTGCAGGTAGCCGGTCTGGCTTATCATTGGGTTGGAGTTCACTTGGCACATATAATTGCCTCGGTCCTCTTGTGTGACGCCGCTCACGTGTAGCGTCCACGACCGCAGTGAGTCGTGCGTGACGAAGAATCTTGGCTGCCGTGCGATCACGTGCTTGTGGATGCTTACGATCATCTGGCGGTCGAGATGGATCCAGGCCACCTGGGTGCCGAAATACAAATGGATGAGATTTCGTTTATTGATTGAACATTTTCATTATACTTAATGATCACTCACATGAGAATTCAAATCATAGTAATGTATAATATAGCTTATTTAATAGCGATAATACGTTTTTGGGGGCGATAAACCGGCCCTGAGAAATATGTGGCCGAAACAAGATTTGATCATCGAACATCAGAAGTGAAAAATGCCTTAAATGTGGTACATTTCTCGCGTGGTAGATTATAAATATCAAGTCTATGCTAAATTTGTTTAAAGTGCTGAGAATACAGGTAAAATGTAACATGGTCTTCAGTGAACTTAAGTTCAAGAGAAACCAATATACTAAAATACTTGTGTCTTCATTTTTAAGAACACTACGATAGAGTGAGTCGATTAGAAGAAAAGCTGCCGCTAAGTACGTGAGTTGCCTTGTGCTAAAATTTGAAGTGTAAAAATAAAATTGCTGAAGAACAACGTTTCCTTGCCAGAGCCACAGTAATGATGCATTGTAGCTGCGTACAGTATTTTATATTTCAGTTCATGAATTGCTTTGAATGATCTCAGCCGCTGCTTATAGCACCAAAAATGAATGAGCGGTTCTTTAATAAGAAAAGTGTTACGTAAAATGTGTTCTTTCGGTGCGTAAATAGCAATGTAGGACAAGCGTTACATTAAATGAGTCCATTAAATGAGTAGATGCGAACATAACCATGCAGTATAAGCTTTGCTGGGAGCGAATTATTTAAGTGCGTATATCATGGTTAGCCTGACGGCATAATTAAGTCCCGTATAGCAGCAGTGCGTATAGCTACATGATGTAAGTATAAGTCCCGTATAGCAGCAGTGCGTATAGCTGCATGATGTAAGTACAAGTCCCGTATAGCAGCAGTGCGTATAGCTGCATGATGTAAGTACAAGTCCCGTATAGCAGCAGTGCGTATAGCTGCATGATGTAAGTTCAAGTCCCGTATAGCAGCAGTGCGTATAGCCTGTCTCTTATACACATCTAGATGTGTATAAGAGACAGCATCAATATTCCTAATGGCAATTTTGGAGTACCTTTCTATGGATTACTAACAAATTATTGATCCCTGTTAAGGATAGTGGGATAAATAAATGCCTATTTGAGCAAGTTTGCAAAAGCCACCTAATCTAATCATCATTCTATGCTGTGTACCAAAAAAAAGTAAAAAGTGAATATTATTTCATGTATTGG